TTTATAAATATTCTTTTCAACAAAGGTGAATGGCTTATCAAATTTTCTCCAATACTGCCTTCTCAGTGAGTCTTTACTCTTCACGAATGAGCAGATCACAATAATCGACTTCAATTACTTCAGTGTATTTGTTGTTATGAACACTTGAATCTATACTTGTATATGAGGAGGAGTTTGGGTTGTCCTTGAAGGATTTGACTTAAGCTAAAGCTAGAGAGCTAAGGGCTTTTGTAGGCTAATATGCAATTTTTAGGCCAATGCCTGAATATCAACAGAAATTCCTAAAGTGGACATTTCATAGGCATCGTATTTTGGAGATGCTTTCCAGGTTGTTTTGCTAATGTATAGATCTCATTCTAAAAGGTGGAGAGACTGCATTCTGTTGCTTTCTGATCTTGGCCGAGATGTTGCGTGAACAATTCCACCTTTTTCAGGATTCCCTCCATGTGCTGAGTCCATAAGCTGCTCCAGCAGAAACCGCCTGAGTCTTCCTCCAACTCTGGATGTGTCAATGAGGTGATTTGGATCGGGGCTGGACCTGTGGTCTGGTTCCGTAACCCAGCGGACTGCAATAGTTACCTGCCTGAGGATTCTGGGGTTTGAGGTGTTTGGCTCTGGGCTGAGAATGACAGAAAGGGGGAAACCCAGGAGGCCAAAGGGAGGGTGCTGGCAATGCCAATGGAATGCAGATGGGTGGGGAGAAGGGACCACGCCAACATCCTCCAAATAAGGTTCCCTCCGAGTAACTGGGCATTTGCTGTCTTGAGTTCCTGGATTCCATTTTCAACACACATGCTGAATCATTCCATTTTCTTCCTAGGGCTTTTCAATGTGCCTTCCAGGACTACATGTTGATTTTATCTGCTAAGGCAGACTCAGGCTTGTTGGTGTCAAGGTTATTCAATGCAGACAGTGGCCACGAGACCTTGGGGAAAGTGTAATAGGGAATTATTGAAGCATCCATTTAGGTAATCTAAACCCAAACCCCCTGTGTCCCAAGTATCTGGATATCTTTTTTTTTTTTTTTTTCTTTCTCTGAGTTATCAATGTCTCAGCCAGCATTCCCTATTGATAACATGACTGGGGCTATATATTATCCAGGTAAATGCCTATATTCCTTATACATGTACTAGAACAATATATGTTCTTGTGGCCTATTTATCAAATTCATTCTCTTTGAATTGAAGCCAGTTTTCATAATAAGTAAGGACATGGAAATACTAGGATAAAACATTATAGGACTTGAACTCAAGTTTCTGAGTAATTCCTAACCAACTGTATGGCCTTAGCAAAGCCATCTAACTTCTCTGAAGGTCAGAGATGTTCTGTGGGAACTGGGCAGGTTAAGAGGCCAAGACCAAATATGTAGGAAAACCAATGGAAGATACCACTGATTTCTATGTTGCACTTGCATAGTTCTTTTTTCCAACACTTTATTACAAAAGAGTTAACTCCACACTCGCCAGGACATTGAGTGAAGAGCTATCATTTCTCAGAGGCAATTGTAAATATAGGCAGACTAGAGATGGGATTTAAGGTTACCCCAACACAGCTATCTATTTCTCCTCCCACACTCCCAGGCTATTCTGGGGCTCACTTGAGATTTATTCATTTGGATTAATATGGGTTTTTTTATTTTCCAGGAGTCTTTGGTGCTTGCCTGTATTAGTTTTCTATTGCTGTCTAAACAAATTACCATAACCTAGTGGTTTAAAACAACACAATTTATTATCTCATAATTACTGTAGGTAGAAAGTCCAACATGGGTCTCACCAGGCTAAAATCAAGGTGTCAGCAAAGCTGTGTTTCTTCCCAGAGGCTCTGGGGGAGAATCGGTTTTCAAGTTCACCTAGGTTCTTGTCAGATTCAGTTCCTTGTGGTTGTAGACAGAGGCTCCTGTTTCCTTGCTGGCTGTCAGCCTGGTCACCTGCATTCTGTGGCTCATGGCTCCCCTCCTCCTTCTTCAAAGCTGGAAAGTCAAGTCCAAACTCATGTTTTGACCTCACCCTTGAATTTCTCTTTTGGGCTTACTTCTGCCTGCCCTTTTCTTTAAGGGCTCACAGGTGATTAAGTTTGGCCCCACTGGATAATCCAGACAGCTCTTCCTACTTTAGGGTCAGCTGATTAGTAACCTTAATTACACCTACAAAGTCCTTTCACAGCAGTAGCTAGGGTAGTGTATGACTGAGTACCCAAGGAATGGGAGTCTTGGGGTGGGGGAAAGCATCTTTACAATTCTTTGTACTGCATCATGCTACATTAATATTAAGCAATTACCCATCATTAACATCTTTGTGGAATTAGCTTAATGGGTGGATTTCCAGTATCACTAGTGGCTAAAGGGAGTGGGATGACTTTTTTATTTTTTATTTTTAGTACTACATAGTAAATTACATGGGAGACTACTTCAGTGTTTGGGATCAGGGGTTAGACATTTTTGGCAGAGAGCATGTGAGAGGAGTTGAGATCTAAACTGGGTAGTATGGAAGGAGACAGGATCCATACTGGAGAAAAACAAAACTCTAAGAGATTTTTTTTCCAAGGGGAAAAAAAAATCATTTACTTAACATTGCTCTGATATGTCTGAAGTTGAGAAGTACCTCCTTATTTATAAATAATATGACACTGTAGAAATATAGATTATTCTCATTTGAAGTATAGCTTTTAAAATAAAATTTTTAAAATTTGAATATTATCATAATTATTTGAGAAAATATTTGAAGAAGCTTGTATGAAAGAAATCCTTCCTTTCCCCTCTTCCCCCTCTTCAGTTTTTATAATTGAGTCTCATGGCAACTTCAGCCTAGCTACATGAAAGGCACTCTTTGTAGCATTATATGGGTAGTTCTATAGATACAGATAATGTTTACATATAATATAGACTGTTTCAAAATATCTTCAGGGAATAAATATCTATTGCTTTCTTCAGGGATGCAGCATATATACTATATGTGTATTTCTATTTGTTCATATATATATAAAGATATGGCTAAATGTAGAAATTGATATAATATAAGCTATATTATATTGACATAAATACATGACTTTGCATTCTTGAACAGAAACAACGGCAGTATTGCAAAAGTATTTGCACAAGCAATTGCAGTATTACAAGTTTTGTATTTACCCAGACTCCATCATTACATGACCCTTTTTCTTTTTAAAATTCCCCTTGGAATGGATGTAGGTCTCATCCAAATACCCAAATGGAATCATTCATTTCCCAATTGCAAGTCCTTTCCAGGGCAATGGGAAATGTATTCCTTTTACATGTTCATTTTGTGGTCGTCAAGGTTTCCTGTCCATGGTCTTTCCGTGAAATCCCTTTGGGCTTAGTTTGGCCTGTGTTTGCAGGAGTGACTGGAAGACAGCCTTGCTTTTGATAAGGCATATCATTTCATCAGGTCCAACACATTCACGGAGTACGACCCACCCTCAGCACCTGGGGTTTTTCAAATCCTACATTAGTCTGTGTCAAGTTGACTATTGTCTGGTGTTCAGGCACTTGACTGGAAGTAACAGGGCTGGGAGAGAAAAGAAATCATATCCTGTCAATAAGCGCTGAAAATATTTAGTGTGGCAAGCTCTGTGTTTTCTTTCTTATGAAAAGCTGATTAATATTCAGTGGTTGAAGGTTAATACCCCATTCATTTTATTCACTTTACATCCTGCACACAGCAGTGACTGTTCCAATTTCAACTCCTAATTCATACGAATCTGGTTCCAATCATGAGATTAGTAACTTACTGCCTAAGCAGAAACAAATCACACAATTGCTAAGCTTATCTTTCTACCCATGCACAGACACGTACATGTGCTTGAAATGGACTCATTCATGGGCAGATGCAGATGTACATAGACCAGCAAAGCTTCATCAATGTGGACATATCTAGGAAATTTCATTTGCTGACACAAGCACCTGATAGAGACAGATAGATGAAACTGACACGGAGAAAGCATTGCCTAAATATATTCATATGTGCAGAGGTTTGAACCTTGTTCAATAACTATGTCTCTGCTAAGTTTTCTATATCACAACTATTTCTATGATGAATCATATTTTAAATATATTAGGATGAGTCATTAAAAGATCCCCTATGCTTTGTCCTTTTGCAGAATATGGTATTATTTTGTAAGATCACCACCACAACTCCATCTGTTTACAAATTCATTTTTATGTTCAAGGGGTTTCTATCAAATTGGACACACCATTTTTTTTTAAGGAGGTGAAAGTGCAGGAGGATGAACTTCAGAGTAATGATAATGAAGGTTTTCTGATCATAGAAGGAGAGCTTCAAGAGAGGTCAGCAAAGTAGGGAGAGGATTCGCATTTCCTGAAGATCTTTTGAAATCGTATCTCATTTGTCTGGAAAGGATTAAGATCGGACCTGCAGAGGTCTGCTCTGAGGCTCCTTCCCGTTTGGTGAGTCTGTGATATGTGTCTCTAGTCACTCTGCAGGAAAGATAAGTTTAGGTGGCATCTGCACTCAGGGGAGGAGGGAAGGTATATCAAGATGTTTGCATTTTCAGATGATGGCACACAAGAGTTGACCTAAAGAATTAATCATCACAGTGACTGTCCATCAGATATGGTGAGAATAATTGGTGCTTGTTTCATTGTGTTTTTTATCGTATTTATTTCTGCTCAACATGCATGCTAAAAAATTGATACAATGGGACTAAAAAGAAGTCTCAGTATTTAACACTATGAGTGCTTTATGTGGGGGACTTGATTGTGATTTCTTACCAAAAATGTTATTTCCAAAAGCCTTGGAGAGATGGGAATGAATGGAATGTTCTTCTAGCTTCTTTGAAGGCCTAATGTCTATCTACCACCACCTGGAGACTACTAGGATTTTATCCCTCTTTCCTTTCCTTTTTGACGCTTATGTTACAGAAAAAGGCAAAGTACGGGATTGGGAGTTTATGCACGCACTGACGCACGCACGCACGCACGCATCCACGCGCATGCGCACTCACGCGCACACACATGCGCACAGGCGCGCGCGCCACTGCCAAACAACCCTATGTTAGAATTGTGTCTCTTCCGCTTGCTAGCTAAATGGCCTTAGCTTCCCTGAGCGTCTGAATCTGGGTTGAAGGCGAAATGGTGCGATGTAGAAAGATGACGGCTGGCGTTTCACAGGCCCGCAGTGGCGCCCATTCATGACAGGTTTGTTGTGAGTAAGGTGCGGTGTCCGTTTGTGACAATGTTTTGAAACCTATATACTGCTAAACCAATTTCGCACCCCTGTTATTTCTTGGCACAGCTGTGTTTCGAATGGCCTTGCTGGTTTTTGTCTGCCCGCGTCTGCCTGCTCTCCAAGCAACCTCCGGCCCCAGCCAACTACCCGCCGTCCTGCCTTTGAATGGCAGGACACACAACCGCCGTCCCTTTTCAGGTAAGTCTTAAACATCTTCGGAGCTGCTGCCAAGGGCCTGGGTGAGCATGAGCCTGAGGAACGGGGGGCGTTTCTATCAAGAAGAATTGCACTTCTAATACTATTCACAACATCCCTGTCAAAAAAATGCTTGAGACTATAGAGGCCAAGGTCTCGACCAATGCCTCCGAAAGCCACATTCGTTGGCGGATGCTAATGCTCTCTAACCAGGGGAAGTCCCTGGGGTCCTACCTGGGACTTTCCTGACCGCTTTCCGACCTGCCTCATCCTTTTTTTTTTCTTTTCCAACCTGTGGTAAAATACACACACACCATAAACTTATCATCTCAACCGTTTTTAAGTGAAGAATTCAGCGTATATTTACATTGTTGTGCAACCGTCACCAAACTCTTTTTCATCTTGTGAAACTGAAACTCTGTCCCCGTTGAACGCGCAGTCCCCATTCTCCTTCCCGCAGCCCCTGGCAGGCACCATTTTACTTGCTGCCTCTATGAGCTTGGCTACTCTGAGTACCTGTTATAAGTGGAATCACACTGTAGCTCTCCTTTTGTGATTGGCTTATTTCGGTTAGCACCATGTTCCCAAGGTTCATCCATGGAGCATGCTCTGTCTGTGTTTGTGTGAGGAGGGAGTGTGGCTGTGCCTCTCTGGAGGGCGATCGAGAAGCAGCATCTTTAAATTTCCCGTGAGGTCATTGGGGACTGACAACAACCTAAGGTGTGATAGCTACGTTGGCCCGGCTTGTAATTGGTGATGATAAACCACGGTCAATCAGCAGCTCTAGGCTTTCCCGGGGTTCTGAAAAGAATTCTGGGAGACAAGGACTTGAGGCAGAAAAGCACATCCCCAGCTCTTACGCAGGGGCCATCGCTTCATGGAGACTCAGAGGTCCATGTTGGGATGGGGGCTTCTCACAGCAGAGGAGGGCTCGCCATTGCAGCACTCTCTTTCTACTTCGCAGATGCCATCGGGAGGGATTCTTTGGCTTGTGGAAACACTATTTTCTCTTCCTGCCTTTGGGTGACTGTACAAACATAAAAGAAAATAAAAGCTCTCGCTTCAGCATAGCTGCACACAGGGTGTCTAGCCAAAATGCAAAGTTTTACCACAGCACACAAGCAGACAGTGTTTTTCAAGTGAGGGAACAGAGTGAGGTGCCTTTCAGCACCTTTTTCGGCACTTCTTTAAAAAATGATTTAAATTGGAGGGAATAGCACCAAATGCTGAACATCTGACACTCAGACAAGACTTAATGAGTCATACACTTTAACATCACTCTTCTCCAGCCATTTGACTTGGCGTCCGTGTTTGCTGGGGTTTTTTTTGTTTTGTTTTGTTTTTGGGTTGTTTTTTTTTTTTTTAACCCACAAAAACATTTGTTCTGCAGTCCGTTTGCTTTTTAGAGTGTCCTGGGCAACTCTTTCTGTTCATGGCAGGGAGAACTGGCCCAGAGAAACCTGCAGGGCTGAGTTTCTCTAGGTATCCTCTCCAGATCTGAATTTCCAAGGAAATGGACAGCAGTGTTCCTTAGAGACTGGACTTGTAACCACCTTCGGCCTCTCCCCAACTCAATCTCTTGCAGACTATTTAAGCTACGCAACCAAGTGTTGTTCTCAACCCCTCAATATCCAGCATTGCCACAATGGATTTGGATCAAAATAAGAAAAAAGTGAATGATTTTGTGGGTAGGAAAATATTAGTGCTGGGGAAGAGAACAATTCTGAGTATTGAGTTGGAGCAAGTCATTATCTTTGGTGTCATCCATTGAACCTCACTGTGGCAGTGTGGTGGCAATAGGGCTCCCAGCCTCCCTGACAGTGATTAAGGGCACAGGCGGAAAGGACCAATGCTGCCTAGCTTTGATAAGGACTGTGCATTAGTGTCTCATGTGTCTTTCTGATGTGTCACCGTCTGATCATTATTCTACTGGCACTCAGTGCCATGGGCAGGGAGAGTGGTGGGGCCGTTCCCTCTGTGGCTACAACGTATGCAAACAATTTAATCTTCCAGTCCAATCCTTAATGTAAATGTTTAATATAAACCTGATGTTAACATGATGTACATGAATTTACTGGCAGGCAAAGCTGGGATTTACATTCTGCTGAAAATCAGATGTTCTTTCTAGCAGGGTTTGGGGAAATCTTCAAAGATGGCAGGGTTCTTGTTTCCAATGGCAGGTGCACCATGTCCACTGCATCATGAGGTACAGGGGCTACAGGCCACTGAGATGCCAACCCTGTGATTAACGATTTAGCTGATGTCTCCAGAGTACAATGGACTTCCTCTGACATGGAAAATGTCCAGTCTTAGCTGTGATGAAACATGCCATTGGATGATTACTGGATCATCTCATACCTAAATCCAGTCATTTCTTTGCAGACTGCTCCATGAATGACAAATTAGACTAGCAGCTGGAAAACTAGGGTCTGGGGGCCAAATTGGGCCCACCACCTGTTTTCATGTGGCCGCAAACTAACAATGGTTTTTACATTTTAAGCAGTTGGAGGAAAAAAAGAATATTTACAGCATGTAAAGATTATATGAAATTCAAATTTTAGTTTCCATAAACAAAGTTTTATTGGAACACTGTCATACTTATTCATTTATGTACTGTCTATGGCCACTTTTATACTATGATGGCAGAGTTCAGTAGTTGCGATGGTGACTGTGTGGTCCACAAAGACTAAAATATTTACTGTTTGGCTCTTCATAGAAAACGTTGGCTGGTTGCTGCTCTAAGCAGCCCATGTACAGTGATGCTACTGGGGATGATGACAATGACAACAGTAGCTAGCAATTACTGATTGCTTTTTTATACTACATGTATGTATAGTGACTGCCCCATCAACACATGGTTTGTAGTATACTAGTATTTGCTTTTTAAAACATTATATTTGTTAAGTCTTTATGATATCATTCCCTACCTTTGTCTGCTTCTCTAGATTGAAGCTTTTCTGCATGTTAATGGTTGTCTGGAAGGACATTTTCAAAAATCGTTCACATTTTTCCATGTTCCCAGATGTTTGATGCTTTATAAATTAGGTTAGTGTTTCACAAAACTAGCTGATTATCACTTTTACCAGGGGAACTTAAAAGATGCCATCAAGTTGGTATTAATTGATCGACACTCATGCACATATGGTAGTAATATTCGTTGGGTGTCGGCCAGGTGGGAGGGGGAGGAGGGGATGGGTATATTCACACCTAATGTGTGTGGTATGCACTGTCTGGGGGATGAACACACTTCTAGTTCTGACTCTGGTGGGGCAAAGGCAATATATGTAACCTAAGCATTTGTAACCCCATAATATTCTGAAAAAAAAAAAAAAAAGATCCCTGAGCTTAATATAACAGGGTCTGGGGATGGAACCCAGAACTTTAGTTTGTTTGGGGTTTTGTCCTGAAGTTCTGCCAGTGATGCTAAGGAATCATTCTGATGTGGGAACAACTGGCCAGTCAATGACAGACCACATATAAGGTAGTGGTCCCATAGATTGTAATGGAGCTGAAAAATTACTATTGCCGAGTGACATCATAGCCATCATTACATCGTAGCATAATATATTACTGCATGGGGTGATGCTGTGTAAAAAAACCTGTGCTGCCAGGTGTATAAAAGTCTAGCACATACAAATGTGTATAGTACATAATACTTGATAATGAACAACTATGTGACTGGTTTATGTATTTACTGTACTATAATTTTATCACTATTTTAGAGTGTACTAGCTCCTTCTAGTTATTAAAAAAAAAAAAAAGTTAAGTATAAAACAGGCTCAGACAGGTCCTTCCAGAAAGAAACGGCTATCATAGGAGATGACGGCTCCATAGGTGTTATTGCCCCTGAAGACCTCCTGGTGGGACAAGACGTGGAGGTGGAAGGCAGTGATATTGAAGATCCTGACCCTGTGTAGGCCTAGCCTGCTGTGTGTGTTTGTGTCTTAGTTTTTAACAAACAAAGTTTAAAAAGCAAAAAATAAACACAAAATTTTCAAAATAGATAAAAGCTTCTAGAATAAGGGCATGAAGAAAGAAAATATTTTTGTATAGCTGTGCGGTAGGTTTGTGCTTGAAGCTATGTGCTACTACAAAACCTCAAGAAGTTAAAAAAATCTTAAAGTTTATAAAGTACAAACTTACAGTAAGCTAAGGTTAATTTATGATTGAAAAAATAAAGTTTTTTAAAAACGAATTTAGTGTAGCCTAAGTGTGTAGTGTTTAAAGCTCACAATAGTGTACAGTACTGTCCTGGGCCTTCACATTCACTCACCACTCACTCACTCACCCAGATCAACTTCCAGTCCTGCAAGCCTCATTCGTAGGTAAGTGCCCTATACAGGTGTACCATTTTTTTTATCTTTTATACCATGTTTTTACTGTACCTTTTCTATGTTTAGATAAGTTTAGGTATATAAATACTTACTGTTGTGTTCTAATTGCCTGGAGTATTCAGTATGGTAACATGCTCTACAGTTTTGTAGCCTAGGAGGAGTGTTTCTTAGAACATATCCCCTGTCATTGATTGACACAGAACTGTAAGTGTTTTATGTGTCAGAGGGAAACCTGTATTGTAGATAGCACCTGACTTGGAACTCCTCCAGAGAAAAGCTGATTTCCCTATATATGTATATATGTTTTTAATCTCTAACCTCTCAACTACCAAAATACCCCCACTCCCATCACTGATCAAGGTAGTGAGACAGGACTTTGTATGTAGAACGTTAACCAAACCCAGTTACTTGACTTACTAGACACCATGGTTCCTGATAACATGTATTGATTGACATCCTTTCCCTTCTTATTAAAGAATTTCCCTATGAAAATAAAATTGCACCCATAGAGCATTGAATTCTTACATGAAAATATTGCCACAGTCTGGGACCAGCCTAGGTTACAATCCTTTTGTTGTCAGCCAAATTTTCACAAAAGAGCCAGATTAACCTTAATGAAGACTGAAAATTCCTACCTGGCCTTAATGTAACCTCCTAGGAAGGTGAGGA